ATGATCATCCCACTTTAGGGAAGACGACATTGTTCGGTCACTGGGCCGAGTGCAGATTACAGAAGGAGCAGTACCACTTATTTTCCCGCATGAGTCACATGTTCCACAACGCAGAACATTAAAAAGAAAAATTGAACCCGAAATAAGCACTCCAAACATTGTTACTTCGCCTAATAAAAAATGGTTAAAGAGTGAACTTGCAAAAACCAAGACGGCCATAAGTACAAAAAAGGGTGAAATTCTTGCAACAAAATAAAAGAAGGCTTCATAAAAAAGTTGCAAAATTATCAGATATAATAGAGGCACTAAAGAAAAGGCTTAACTTTAAAAAAGAGGATTGTAATTACCTATCATCAATTTCTCAAAATTCGGACTGTTTAATAAAAAGGGCTGTGCAGAAAACATTAAATCCTAATTTGAAAAAAAAAAACTGTATGACGAAAGGTTAAAGTGCTTTGCAATAACACTGCACTTTTTATCACCGAAAGCCTATTTATTTATCAGAAAAACATTTAATACGGCGTTACCGCACCCACGGACTCTGAGACGTTGGTATTGTAGTGTTGATGCTGACCCTGGGTTTTCAACAGAAGTTTTCAGAGCATTGACACAGCACACCAGTAATGGTAACAAGCCTATTATTTGTTCATTAATGTTGGACTGCATGTCCATAAGGCAACGACTTGAATAGGACGGGCAACTTTTTCACGGTACAAAAACTTATTGCATTGCTTTCCACATCCCAGCAGTGGTGAACGCATTTATTTTTTCTTGGACCCCTGCTATATGCTAAAACTTGTGAGAAATACTTTGTCAGATTATAAAGTATTGCTTGATTCTGCCAATAATCTTATAGAATGGAGATATATTGAACAATTGCACGAACTCCAAAAACAAGAAGGTCTTCATCTGGGCAACAGACTTACAAATGCTCACGTAAACTACACCAAGCAAAAGATGAAAGTAAAGCTGGCAGCACAAGTGTTGAGTTCATCTGTCGCTGACTTACTTGACTACCTTTTAAAAAACAATGTTCCAGGTTTTGAAGATTGCTCAGCTACAATAGAGTTTTTGCGAATGTTCGACATTAGGGAATATAAGCCAGCATTCAGATATACTTTTAAAAACAAAGACATACATTTCGAAGCTTAAGGATAAACTTGGAATGCCTATACTATTTTCAAAGCGGAAGACAGGATTTCTTGTATTTATTACGTGTATAGACAGTGTTTTAGCGATGTATGATGAATTTGTCAAGAAAGAAAACGGGCCACTTATGTATTTACCACTATATAAAAAGAGCCAGGACCACCTAGGACGCCTTTTCGGTTACATCCGCTCTCGCGGTAAGCACAACAACAATCCCACATGCCGAGAGTTCACTAGCTCATTTAAAAGGATTTTGTTACATAGAGAGCTGCAAGAAAGTAATACGGGAAATGCCCTTATTCTGAACAAGACCTTGATATTTAATACCAATAAACCAATAAACAACAAGAAACCGATGAAGCGGGCGGTTGATTATAAAGTTTGCTTATCCATGGCTATTTTTTTTATTTAAAATGTAAAGGGAAATATTTTTCGATATAATTTATTTTTCACATACCTTCAATTCAGAATATTGTCTTAAGGGGATACGCCACTATCTCCGGGCCATATTTTTGAATTTTTTGACATTTTCCAAAAGTTGTATTTTCTAAAAGTACATTTAATTGTGAACATTTTCCTAAATTTTTTGCCAATCTGACAACTCCTTCCAATAAAAAAAAATGAATAAAACATTGCGCTGAGCGAATTACAGCAATTTTGGACTATTACTAAGAGATCTTGATATGTACACTTTTATTTGTTATGATAATGATAATTTTGGACTGGCAAGGTATAAATCACATTTATTTTGTAAAAAACAAGTACATTGTCTATAGTAATAGTGGGAAATTTAGCTCTACCAATCCAGTAATGGGAATTTTAGTTCTGCTAATCAACTGATACATTACTGCCACTGTGTTTGCAGCACTGTTGTCTTGTCATCTGCTGTTGTGCAGTTATTGTTTATTATTATTGCTTTGAGGTCATGTTTGTTGTTTAAGTAAACAATTAGTAATACAGTATCCAAGTGTGTGCAAAGGAATTATATTATTGAGTTTACTTTAGTACTGTGGTTTTCATTCGCGCCATATAAATATGGGAAGAGTAAAAGAAAAGAGAAGAATTAGATCTTCACTGAACAGAATATCTGTGTCTAAGAGGTGGACCAGCTGTAAACAGTTAGAAGAGCCAACTTCCAGCAATGCCACAATGTTTTCAAGAGAAAACATGAACAATGACAGTCCTTTGCGCATCGAGTACGACATCCATCGGCCTGGAACGAGCAGTGAGGTAGGCCTAATTCAAATTGCTAGATTAAAATTCAAAAATAGTATAATTTAAAATTCCCATGTTATTCTTATGGAGAAAATGAAAATTTTTGTAGTTTATCTGTTTATAAATATATATTGATAAAATTTGGCAAATTTATATATTTCATCTTATACTATTGACGTATGGTCAAAAAACGCTTTTTACCTTCCCCGTAGCAGCAAACCTAAGCACTCGTTAAAATTTAATGATATTTAAATTGGGAATAAATATGACTTAATTATGGAAATATTTTAGTGAAAATGTAATCAGATCAGACAAGTTGAAATTCGCTTAGTCTGCAAGTTTTCTACGGGGGGGGGGGGGGTATTTTTCATTTATTGGAGTCTGCGTTAATTTTAACCTTCGTGCAGCTTGGTATAGCTGCTAACACATGTTTTGTTAAACTTTATGTTTTCGATTGTGTGCATGTGCTTCATCTAAATATTTTTTAAGTTAAACGTCAAATATCAATTAGTGATAATATTACCTTCTGGCGTTCCAATTATTGTAGACGACTACTACGCGTTTCGTCAGCACCGTGACATCATCAGGTAGTTTAAGGGGGTTGGTGCACCAAAAAAATTTTTTTTTCCAAAAACCTTTTTATTTTACTAATTTATAGCCAGGAATTTCCTGTTTCCAACGATACATAACAATCAAACCTTATAAAATTGTAAACATACGTAAAAAATTATTTAGTAACAGTATGTCACCTGTTTTTACGCCCACTCCGCCCTCCGAGAGTCACAGAAGTTACAATAACTTTATATAGTAACACCTCTTATTTTGATGCGTTGTGATTTTGCATTGTTGGGTTGGCCAACCTGATAAATAGCCTTCTGTCTTTCTGTTAGCTTTCAGTTAGTCTGCTCAGCTGTTGTTATTGTTGTTGGTTGTTTATGTTTACCAAATACAAAGTTAAAAAACATTGTTTCAGTGATTGTGAAGTTTATACTCCGATGTTGAGTGTTTTAGTGTTAATTGTTACAGTGATTTTATTTTATTAGTGATACTTTTACTTTAGAATGCCTCGAAGTACAAGAATATTCAAGAAGAGACCAAAAACTTTTGGTGGTAGGTCTGATGAGAACAACCCAAAAAATGGTCAAGGCCTAACCCCATCCAAGCCTAAGGATCAGTCAAGGCCTAGTTCCTCTTCCAAAAAACTCAGTAATAGTTTGGACTGGTATAGAGAACAGGAAAGTGAACAATTTGAATACACTATCATTGACTTGAATGCTCTTGAGGAATCATTAAATAATGTAGCATCTTGTAAAATATGTAATTCTCCACTAAAACTAGTGAAAAGTCAAGTTTGCGGATTGGCCTGTGAAGTAGCTGTAAGGTGTACTCACTGTGAAAACAGTAATAAGTTTGAAAACTGCAAAAGTGTTTCATTTAATAGGCCTAAGGAAGACAAAGTGTATAGACTATATGATTTAAATATTAGATTGGCACTAGGCCTGCGTACGATAGGCAAGGGCAGAATCGCAGCGAAAAAACTCTGCGGTGTATTGAATTTAGGACAGCCCTTCCATAGATTTTTCCTTCATGAAGAATATTTAGGTTTGGCTGCTGCTAATGTAGCTAAGGAATCAAAAGTAAAGGCTGTCTTAGAAGCTGTAGAGCTGAATAACAAATGTAGCGATATAGCTGTAGCCGTTGATGGATCGTGGCAGCGAAGAGGTCACAAATCACTAAATGGTGTATTGACAGTAACCTCCCTGGCAAATGGTAAGGTAATAGATGTAGAGGTAATATCAAAATTTTGTACATGTAAGGATAGGCTTAACGATAAACACACTGACAGTTGTGAGGCTAACTTTAGTGGGTCTAGTGGAGCCATGGAAGTGGCTGGAGCAGTGAAAATATTTCAGCGCTCTAAAGATTTGTACGCCGTTCGGTATTTGGAATATCTTGGTGACGGAGACAGCAAGGCCTATGCTGCAGTCTGTGAAAGTAAACCCTATGGAGCTACAGAAATAGAAAAGGTAGAATGCATAGGGCACGTGCAGAAAAGGATGGGGACGAGACTAAAAGCACTAAAGGTAAAAACAAAAAAACTTCCAAACGAAAAGTTTTTAGGAGGTAAAGGACGCTTGACAAACACTGCAATGCTACAAATACAGAAATATTATGGACTAGCCATTAGGAGGAATTGTACAACAACTGTAGATAATATACATAAAGCTGTGTGGGCTGTATATTATCACATTCTGTCCTCAAATGACGACCCACAGCATGACCTCTGTGATGAAACGTGGTGCAAGTACCACATCGCAATGAAAACAAATCAAGATTATAACCACAAACAGCATTTTCATTTGCCCCCTGATGTAATGGCCTACATTAAACCAGTTTTCACAGATCTATCAGACAGGAACTTATTGGCAAGATGTTTGAAAGGGAAAACTCAGAACCAGAACGAATAGTTCAATAACGTTATTTGGACCTACATTCCCAAAACAACGTTTGTGCACCTGAGGACTCTGAAACTTGGAGTAGATATGGCAGTGTGTAGTTTTAATGATGGGGGAGTAGGGATATGCAAAATATTGATGGAGTGTGACCTAAAACCAGGCAACCATCTGATACGTACCATGGAGCAGCTCGACAAAGACCGCATCCGGCAAGCGAATAAGGCGCAGGGAGAGCTGGAAAAGAAGATAAGGCAGAGCAAAAGTCTTCTTAAAAGAAAATTAGAAGATAAATATGAAGAGGAAGAGGGGGAAAACCCATCATATGCAGCAGGAGGTCACTAAAGTGAGTTATAGTCTTCTTTTTCTTAATAATACATGGATTTTTCCCTTTTTTTGCCTTTTTCCGAAAGTTAGTTTTTTTAACACATACCGTATGTTCCTTTTTCTGAATAACTACTAAAGGTATCAACTTGGAATTTTTTTAATAGATAGATATAGCTAAGATACACAAATGGAGTGGACAAAAAATTAAAATTAACATAGAAAAAAAATTAAAAAAATAAAATAAAAATTTTTTAAAAAAATTTATAAGCGTTTGAAAAAAAAATCATGTAAAATCTGAAATTGCTTACTGGTAAATTTTACACACTCCATTTATGTAAAAAGGTCTGATCTTTCCAATAAAAAAAACAGAAGTGAGCTATCTTTATTGGTTTCTGAGAAAAAGGAACATTAGTTAACATGGAGAAAGATAGGGCGCACCAACCCCCTTAATACGCTATGACTTCGTCTTTAATATTAAAATACATTGAAAATATTTTTTAAATACTTTAAAATACTTCTCTTCGCAAAATTACGCGCGAAAATGGTTGATTTGAGTATTGTAAGCTGGCGAGTTTAACGTTGGGTGAGGTTGCAACACCGTTATGTATGTAGGTAGGTAATGTATAACATGACGAGTATTTATATTAAGTAGAGTATGTCTAGTATGTAGAGAATGTATAGTATGTGGAGTATGTAAAGTATGTAGAGTATGTATAGTACGTGCAGTGGTATTTTAAACCCACCGATTTGAATAATAGCAAAGAAATTAGCGATAAGTGCATTGACACATTTTCTAATTGATACCCTTACATAAATTCTAGTTTAAAAAAAAACCACATTTGTAAACGTGAAAATTGTTGAGCTGTTATCACTAAGTAATATAATTAATGTTTATCCATGTTTTGTGTTACTGCACACATTACAATTTTTGTTATCAGAATTTATTTTACAATCTGTCCAAACAAATATGAGAACAATAAGTAAAATTGGTAACATAAAAAAATGGCAGGAAGCAAGCAACTGTTCATCAACAAGTCTTGCCATAAATTGGATCATTCTTTTAAATATTTACAGAAATCTGTAGCTTAGGTCCAGCACATGTACGACACTTTTAAATCTGGCAATGCACTGACTATTGTCCAGCAGATTCACAGCAAGACTGTTCGGATGGTATTCCAATTTATCTTGATACTTTTTGCTAAGGTCTGTAATTTCTTCTTTCACTGATTTAATTTTGAAGTCATTCCTAATTGTAGTGTTGAATACGATTCAGGGTGCGCAAATAATTCTTCTCGGCGTCTCAGCCTGAAATCTTTCATGCATTTTTTTGTCAAGAGTTAGACCTAAATATTTTACACGGTCTGCCTCCGTTAAAGCCACATCATTAATGGTTACTGGAGGATTGTACTCAGTTCTCAGAGTAAAAACAATATGTTTAGACATGTTTTTGTTGACTTTTATCCTCCACTTTTTAAGCCAATATTGAAGCTCAGTCAAGGCAGCTTGCAGATTAATGGAACCGACTTGAGGGTCCACATGACTCGACAACAGTGCGGTGTCATCAGCAAACTGTGTCGCAACTGTGACGTTGGGACCATAGGGATGTCTGCTGTATACATCAAATATAGCATGCCAAGGACACTCCCCTGAGGTACTCCAGACTGCTATCGGCTTCAGATCAAATAACGAATTTTCGAATTTTATTTGAAAAGATCGATTGGCCGGATATGATTTTTTATAATATCCACTAATCGGTGAGTTTATTAAATGGTGGAATGTGTTTGGCGGAAGCCGAACTGATGATCTGATATTAAGTTTAATTCATCAAAAGTGGGGGTTAACCTTTTTGAGTATTACCTTTTCAAACAACTTTGATACTATAGGAAGCAAGCCTATGGGTCTGTAAGAAGATGCGTCATTAGGTGGTTTGCCTGGTTTTGGGATAACAACTATTTGTGCAATTTTCATTTGAACAGAAAAATATTCCAATCGTAACATAGCATTAAATATAAATGTCAACAACATAATGCCTTTACGGGGTAGTTCTCTTAAAATGTTTCCAGTGATGAGATCATACCCAGGAATTTTCACGGGGTTAATTTCCTTAAAAATTATGCTTGGTACCTCTGAAGAAGTGAAAGATTTTATAGGCAGAGATTTGGTGCATCCAAAAATTCGTAAATTTCACTTTCGTCATTGGGGGGATTCTAAGTAAAAGGCTTAAATACTTCAGAAAAGTAATCTTCAAAGCCCTTTGCTTTTTCTTCAGGGGTTAAGCCCAGGACCCGTCAAGTTTCCGAATTGAAGAGAATGACAAATTTTGATGAAATTTGGTACAAACGTGTAAACAAACGTACGTTTATTCAAACGAGTTTCGCGAACCAGCATAATTGGACCGGATGGGAACGGGATTTCATGATCTAAAATGATGATGAGATTGATTTTTCCCATTTTTGACCATAAAAACACAAAATTGCATAATTTCTCTCCAAACCATTTTGAAGAGCTTAAGAAAACAAATAATTTTGTATGTTGAAGCGTTGTTTTATGCCCAAGGGTTACAGAGATAGGAAGTTTAAAAAAGATTTTAATTTAAAATATGCCTACCTATGTTATTTTTATTTAACTGTTGTAACTTAGTTCCACTTGTTTACGGATAGGCTATATTAAAATCAAATTTGGCAATTTTGATTATTTCATACTAAGCTATCAACATTTCAATTAAAAAAGTGCTCACAAAAATATTTTTTTTAATTGGAAATAAATCTGTCAATTTTTAGGGAATGTTTTAGTAGTAATCCAGCCGGGTAAATGGAAATTCGCTTAGTCTGCAGGCTTGCTGGGGCGGGATGTGTTATTTATATCGGCTCATAAGTTAGGGTAAGGTTAAAATCTCTGCGATAAGTTAGTAGGCCTATATATATACCTAGGTCCCGGTATATGGAACAAAAAAGTAAATCCGTCCTGGATTCAGGAATTACCATCATGAGACCTATGGTAAATAGCTTAGGCCTATTTTCTTTCCCACAGGTATAGTTTACCAATGGGTAATTTACGGATAGTATAGTCTATACATGGGAAATTAGCTGACAATAGGTTATCAAAATATTAAAAGTTGTGGTCTTATTATTTGTGCTTCTAAGTTTTATGAATAACTTTTCACCACACTATGATGTTTTTGGCTGTATTACATACATTAATTGGTGGCTGAAAGTTACGTTTTGCTCGCTATGCCAGCTGTCATCGTAATTTGGGAACCAAGCAGGTTTTTACAGGCCGGGGCCGCAAAATCAGCTGTCAGCTTACTTACTTAAAACATGAATGCATTTTAAATACACAATCAAAATCCATAGCATTGTAATAGAATTGTGTTATTGTCACCGTTGCCTAGCAACGATTATTTTTTATTTTTGCCGACTATCAGTGTGCATTATAAGTGGTGAATATAGTGGTAATAGGGTATAGCGTGGTGAAAAATAGCGTTCGTACCACGGACCGAAATGGTTTTGCAGCTCTCGATCGAATTAAGTTCTCGACTTCGTCTCGAACTTAAAAACTATCTCGAGCCGGCAAAACCTCATTTTCGGCCCTAGGTACGAAATATACTATTTCGTGGCCTATAAAGAAGTAATCAATATTTATTAATATTTCAGATTTAAATAGTTTGCCATTCAATTACTGAATTTATATACTATGAGTTCTGGAAAGCATCCTAAACTTCCACGTAATTTTTACAAGAAAAAAATGAAACAGAAAAATACCTCTTCTTAATAGACCTAAACACTGATGACGATCAAGAAATAGCTATAGATGAAAGTTGCCAGGTGTCAGTAGAGGCAAGCCTTCCAGTTCCTAAAGTAGATGTCATACCCAGCACCAGTCAAGAAGCTACACTTGAATTCAATTTGAATTCAGATCAAGATTCTTCAAACTCTTTAGTTGGCCTAGAAGAACTATTAGAAGATACGACTCCTTATGTATTACCTCCCACAGCGTCTAAAGAAGAGCTCGATTCAGACGATGATTCATTATGGACTTTGGAAGGATTTAAAAGGGATCTAGCTAATTGGGCCGTCACTGAAAATATTGCTCATTCAAAATTATCTCCACTGCTAAGAATTATAAGGAAACATAAAGAATTAAAAAAAAAATACCTGTTGATGCTAGATTTATACTGAGAACACCCAGACGGTCAGACATTGAAAACCTTTGTGGTGGTGGTTAAAAAAATACTGGCAAGTGAAAGTTCATTGCCGGAAGATATTGATTTGTTAGTAAGTGTTGATGGTTTACCCATTTCAAAGAGTTCTGGCAGCCAGTTATGGCCTTAACTGGGAAGAATTAGGTCCTTGCCACACACTCCAGTGTTTGTCATTGGAATTTTCCATGATTCCCAAAAGCCTGACAGTAATGAGTATCTAAAAATATTGGTGGAGGAGTTGCAATTGATTATTGAAAGTGGAATTGTTTAAATGACAAAGTTAAATAATCATGTTGCATTCGTACGTGATACACCGGCCAAATCTTTTATTTTAAAAACAAAAGGTCATACAGGATATTTTTCCTGTACAAAGTGCAATTATGGGGGACAGTACTTAAATGGAAGAATTTGTTTTTCTGTAAAAAGTGGTCCTACACGAACACATGACAATTTTGTTAACCAAGTTCAAGAGGAGTACCATGTCGGCCAGAGCATTTTAGTAGATATACCCCAGTTCGGTGCTGTCCGTGACCTGCCTCTGGATTATATGCACCTCGTTTGCTTAGGCGTCGTTAAAAACAATTTGAATTTGTGGGTTAAAGGTTCTCTAAAATGCAGACTTTCTAACAATCAAGTGTGCGAAATCAACGAAATTCTGAAATCGTTTAGGAAGTACACACCAACAGAATTTGTAAGAAAACCCCGGGGACTGCATGAACTCGCCTGATGGAAGGCTACTGAGCTCAGGCTTTTTTTACTGTATGCTGGCCCAGTTGTTTTGGCCAAAGTAAAAGAGTTTAGGCCAGACATTTCTGAGCATTTTATCAACTTAAGCATTGCAATGGATTTGGTCTTGAACCCCATCACTTGTAAGGATTATAAGGACTATGTATCATCACCGTTAGAGATCTTTGTAAATAACTTTAAAAAGCTCTACGGCAATCATTTAATTTCACATAACATCCATGGACTTCTTCACATAGCTGATGATGTAATAACATTTGGTGCCTTAGATAACTGCAGTGCCTTTCCTTTTGAAAATGTTAAGCTAACTTTGAAAGTCTTTCATGAGAAAACATAACCTCCCATTACAACAAATCTGTAAACGGCTAAAAGAAAAGTTTAACAATGAATTATCAGCCCCGAAGATTGTAACAAAACAACATGATTTTAAGACTATGCATGAATCAGGGCCCTTACAAGGACAGTGCAGAAACCCTCAATACAAAACCCTACAAACACAAAGCTTTAAATTATCATGTAATTATAGAGATGGGTTATGTATGTTGGTCAACCAAGAAATTGTGAAAGTAAACAACTTTGCCTTTTGTCCCTAAAGAAAGATATGGTTTTGATTGGCGTAGAATACAAATCTGACCGGATTTAAAAGACCATTCAGATCTTCAAAACTCAAAATTTCATTGATAAAAAAGAAAAGTGAAGAGAATAAAATGTGGCCAATAAATTAAATCCAAAGAAAAATGTTGGGTTTTCCTTTCAAAAAGAATCTTTTGTCTTCAATGCCCTTGATTCCCTCATAATCAGACATAGCCTAACATAGCGAATTTTGCAACTGTGTTGAAGTAGATCCATAATTAAATGTAAGTATTTTATGTTAAATGTTCTACGATTAGTTATTTTAAAATGATTGTAAAATACACGTTAATAGTACCTATATACAACAACTGTATTATGAACGACAAAAGTGACATGTACAGTTGGAACACAAGAGAAGCAAGTGTTCTAATATCTCACGAGTGGCTTGAGGTGTTTTATGTAATTAATTTGTTGCTTTGTCTACGAATTGCGCAATTTTTATTTTAACACTACTTTCGTCAAATGCCAAACTCTCATTGTAAAATACTTTCACATCACACTCTGTATTGTAAAGTGACACCTGTACCTTAATATTACTTAATAAGTTATATAGTAAATTTGGCTTTGGTTTCAGATGATGTGGAATTTACATTTACAATTTACAGAGAAAAACAATGTGGAAGTGGTGCCCCAATGTTGGGCTAAGGATGGTGGCTGCTTTTGGCCTACAGTTGGCAGGAACAGGTTGAAAGCCCATATCGAGGGGAAAATTTAGCCCGATGACTCAGACATTTGGAAAATGTACGAAGCTAGAGTTATTGGCAAAACATATGGTAAGAACATTGATATACTTGGCTGTCCACTAGATAATAATAATATAAATACAGTACCTTTTAGTAAAGCAAAATATATTTTTGGTGGGCATTTACATATTAAACCGAATCCCCCTTCCCTTAAACTACCAATTCCATTTGGTTTAGTTAGGTCAATTACGCCTAAATTAACCTCTTCAAGGAGCAAGGCGCATATGGGTACATTAACTTCATAGGCATCCACATCTGCTAAAAGACATTATTTGAGTACATTAACTTCTTCAATGTTGGTAGCATTGATTGGTTTTTCTTCCAAAAGGCTAGAATCAGCTGTGTTTCAGTTGTTCTTACCTTTGTTTACGTTTTGGTGAAGTGAGTCGGTTGTGCGAGTTTCAAGTCTTGTAAAATGCATTTGTAATGTAGGTATACAACTAATAATTTTTGTTTGTGATACCTTATACCGTATATTTTGAAATAATAACTAATATACACCAATATATTACCAGATAAAAACACGATCGTTAATTTAATATCCGTACTCATTTGAGTACAAGTCTCAAATGTGGCACTATGCTTATTGTACTCATATGCGTACATTGCTCAAATGTGGTTTAGTTGCATTTTTTAATGTACCCATATGCGTTATTTGCTCAGATGAGTCTTACTAAAGTAAAAGCGAATAGAATTGGCGGGTCAATATCGTGTTTTGAAATAGGCCAGCTGGTATTATTCACCCGCCAGTTCTATTTGCGTTTACTATAAATATAAGTTTATTACATGTAGGCCTACTGTATTTTTGTACAAATTACATCGAATGTTACTGTTTGTAACCGATAAATTGTGATTACAATACAAATACATTTTACAATTTATTTTTATTTCTAGTGGTTTTCAGTGTTTTCAAAACATGGATAGACATTTGAACTTAGCAAATAAACACAACATAATAGAACACATTTTAACAAATTTAGATGATCCAAATTCATCAGACCTAGAAATTGATGATTGTTTAGAAGAAGATTCAAATGAAGATCAAAATGACAGCCTACCTGAGTTTCAATCACAGTTATTTGATGATTTACCAAATGATGATTTTCAAATACCAGGAGCTACATTTGAAGCAGACAATCTTAACAACTTTCAAGAGGAGGATGATGAAAATATCACATCTTCCGATACCACAGAGGTAATAAACCATAATTTAAATTTTGTGGACATTGTCAACGATGAAGGTGTTTCAATTCAAGAAGGTTCTTATGAAATAAACGATGAAGGTGTTTTAGTTCAAGAAGGTGGACATCAAATAAACGGTGAAGGTGTTTCAGTTCCAAAAGGAGGATATGAAATAAACGATGAAGGTGTTTCAATTCAAGAAGGTGAATGTGAAATAAACGATGAAGGTGTTTCAGTTCAAAAAGGTGGATATGAAATAAGCGATGAAGATGTTTCAATTCAAGAAGGTGGAAGTGATATAAACAATGAAGGTGTTTCAGTTAAAGAAGGTACGTATGAAAGAAACAACTCGGTTGGTGATCAAAACAATGCAACGTCTAACATAGTAGTACTAGATACACTGTCCATTTTAGAGGCAAAGTTGCCTACTAACCAAATTCCTTCTAAAACTACAATCCCAAATGATCTTGTGACATTCAAATATTTCACTTTGTACACATTTGTATTTTTGGGTTTATCATCAGTAAATCAGTTATTTTGTTATACAATAAAATTACTTTTATTCACTTGTACTTGAACTATTTGGATAACTCCTTTACAAATGCTTATGAAATAGGTTGGTTGATTTTTTTTTATTAAAGATAGTAATATTTTATAACTGTATAACTGTTAAACTTAAATACTATATTAGTATTTTACTTTACTGTAGTACGTTTGAATATATCATAGTATAGAAAGTCTGATGTAATGTAAAAGTTAATGTACTCATTTGTGACCATGAAGCAGAAGTGGGTAATGTTCTTAAAATACAACAGGCCTACATATGTGTTGTGTACTCATTTGAGTACATTAACAAATTTATTAATAATTTACAAAATAAAAATAAGAAAGTTGAAAAAAGTACTGCCAGGATCATTTTAGACATAAACCAACCAAAAAATAAAATTATTATCAGTTTTTAAAACATTCACCAAAAAACGTCCCTGAAGAGGTTAAATAACCTTCAACACAAACATTTAGAGGGGTCATTGCTGCTAGTGTAACCTGACCTTGGTGTACTCGAATGGAGGGGGTATTTGCCAAGCGGAAATAGGCCTTTGACTCATCTGGCATCAATCGATTTATAGTGAAACAATAGTGGTCAATAAATAGAATATTTATGATAACCTAACCATTGCATTGTGTGGTAAAATCGTGGTCACCTTGTAATCCACAAGTACTACAAACTTGAATGTAGAAATATCCAACCTTCTTTTATTTACTATAATGTTTAATTTTGTACAAACAAAAGATACTGTATTTAAATAACCAGTGTTTATCGTATGTAATTGATATCTTCTGATTGATTAACTATATTGTTTTACAAAATATTGCTATTATTGTGTTTACAGATAAACTCCAAAAAGACAGGGGGAAGGCGAACATTGCCCTAACTCGATCCGATATCGATACAGACTTGGGAAAAAAGAGTTATTAAAGAAATAGGAAATATGGATTTGAATCGGATTCAGAATCAAGCTCAAGTTCAACCGTAGCAAGTGGGGTGGGGACAGTAAGGAAGACACTTTGGCCAAAGACGAATGAATCTATTGGCAAAAAAAGGACCTAAAGAGGCTCCCTTGAAGAAAATTCCTAATCTTCCACGGAGATCACCAATAAAAATTATGGAGTCGCCAGTGGTCACTAAACCATCATCGGCCATGATCAATGAAAGACCGACAGCTACCAGTACCCCTAGAGTAGGGCCATCAATAACTAAAAGTAAGACATCAATATTAAGTTCTTAGGGTAATTTTAAGGCCAAGGATAACATTGCTGTATCAGAGTAAACCATTACATTGAAATTAGATAACTGAACGTTTGGTAACTATCCATTGTATAGTTATAATTACACTTGTTGACTTTCCAATAATTACCAAGTTAAGGTGAGACAGTAGCAGCGTACAGGTGGTATTTTTCCTTGCAAATAAATTTTAAATAAAACTAAAAAAATCTCTCATGTGTTCCCCATTTTGAAGAAATATGCATCAGGAACCAAAATTTGATCAAGAATTATATAAAGCAGATACTGGGGGAGTTGGCTTCAGTTAATAACAAACTGGAGATGATAGGCCAGCCTCAGCTGCAAGTGACAGGGAGGTTTGTGGAGGAATCGGAGGTGATAAAAAAGTTACCTGCAGAAACTTTGGAAGACCTCCTAACCGTCGAGGATCTTCTCAAGGACAAGGAAAAAGAGACAGAAGTAGTAAGACAATTTGTTAAATCCTACTTTTTATCACTTTCAGGAATGTCTTGGCTAGTATTCCACATATTGACTGTCACTATATTTGCTTAGTCATGATAAAAATCTTGTTTTCTTGGGTATATTTAATTTAATTTCTCTATATGGGAAGAAGATATTTACCAAATAAGGTATACATGGTAAAACCTAAACCTGTGACCATGATACTTTTTTGTTTGTAGGTTCCCAGATACAAAAAAATACCTTATGTTCTGAGTAAATATTAATGTGTTTGTAAAAACATGCAAATTGCTAGGATAACGGCAAAGATCAATGTAATTAAATATAACAAAATGTTCTTGTTCTCAGCAATTTGTTAAATGACCTTTTACCCTTTATATTTTTAGCAAACTATTTGGCTTTGACCAAATATTTTTAGATCCTTGGTAAATAGCCCATTAAGTTAATTTTATGCCATTTTCAAAAGGTACAATGTAGCCTATATAGTTTTTCATACTAATAATTTCATAATTGATCATACTCAGTTAGGTATTATTA